GTTATCCTCAACAGACACTGTGAGCACAAACAGAATGCATGAGATCTTGGTTTCAAACTTTAGCATGCAAGACTGCAAGCAATATACATCCCTTTAATAAATGCTTATACTGCAGCTGAATTAAAAAAGAAAGGTCAAATCGTGTCATCTGGACCAGTTTCTTTAAGTGAGCAAGGTTTCTTCCACCATCCAGAGGACTTCCTCAGTCCAACAGGAAGGTGGCTGGAAACAGCAGTGAAGGCGGCCTATGGGACAGATCTGGTTGGCAGGCTGTAGACTGAGGAAGTCCTCTGGATGAGGGATGAAACATTTCTCACTGAAAGAAACTGGTCCAGATGACACAATTTAACCATCTTATTATTATCTACCTGGATGATTGAGCTTACAACTCTTTTTTTTAGTTGCTGACTGTATACAAAGACATGATGTTAACACATGGAACAAAAACATTTCCATTTTAACCCCGTTTAATGCTTCTGGTTAGGGTAAGTGTTTATTAACTTTAAAAATTGGATATGTTTTTACAATAAAGTTTCAGATTATATTACGTCTGTTTAATATAATCTAAGAAGGGGTAAGTCGAGGAAGGAAAAATACAAAATAGTGACAAGAGTAATCAATGTCATCCATTGGATTCCAACAAGCGTGTGATTTTATTGCGGACCGTCTGTTTGCAGTGACAGACGTTAGAAATGTCTTTGTATGGCTAAGGTAAACTGTGTCACTGATGAACAGCTGGATTAGTTTGCAGAAACTCAAGTGTTTCAACAACACCACATCTGGAGTTCAGATCCTGAACCAATCTATGAAATACTTCCACAGCCAGTGCTGGATCCCAGCTGTGACTGACTGCAGGTCAACGTCACAGAGTGGGCTAATACCAGCTGCTACAGACCGGAGTCTGTCATAGAGGTCCTGGGTTCACAAAGAATAAACTCCCAATCTGACTCTGTAAAAACATCTTTAAGCTTTTCTTCCCATCCAGATGTGCAAAGTCACTAATTCAATGCATGAAAGTTCTCTGATCCGCTGAGCTGAATGTCAGCTTATACGAAGTTTTGGCTTTACTCCATCAAGGATTCAAGGAATTTTTTATTGTCGTACCAGCTCACATTTGCATGTTTACGATGTGAAATTCGGACACAGGTCCCAGATCAAGAAGCCTAACAATTAACAAATAAATAAATACAAGAGTATAAATACAAATATATATATATATATATATATATATATATATATATATATATATATATATATATATATATATATATCTAAATGTACCTCATGTTCCCACCAGCTTCTGTGACTGCTAGAAATCAATGTCCAGCTTTGACAACAGACACCTGTCCGTCAAACATGTGTCCCGTAGCAACATGAAAAAAGGAAAATTAACTCTGAGATATCTAAAACAAACAGTATTATACATGAGCCACACCAGGCCAGGAGCTCAGGAAGTTTCTTGATGAATGTTGCTCAGTTACCTCTGACTTCCATCTAAATTTGTATAATATAAGACCTCACATTACATTAATTCTTTTCTGATTTGGGTCCAAATAATTTTGGATGAAATTCTAGAAGCACCAAGAAGTTTACACTTAGAATATTTATGTAAATTTATGTTGCTTTTAAGATGACTTAATCAGTTATTTTCAACCTTTGTTATCTAAAACATGAACTTCCTGAGAGCCACAGCTCTGTTTTTGTTTGGCCCTGCCAGGCTCAGTCAGTATGGTCGTTAGTAAAACTCTTTAATACCAGTCTCTTAGAGCGGTCGTCAGAACAGCTAAGACAGACCAGAAATAGAGAATCAAAAACAGAGCGCAACATTCTTTATGCTGGATTGATAATTCACTGAAGCAGCCACCTCTGCATGCAGGATGCTGCAGCTGTGAGCTCTGTTATGGATGTCTGGATGTTTTAAAGGCATTACTTGGATTGCCATTTTCTGCCATTTCCGTACAATCTTTAGATCAAGAATTATTAAAAGTTTGCTCAAACCCAACAATGTGTAAGACAGTCAGGAGAGCAACAATTCTTTGGGTCGTTTTTTTTTGGCAGGTACGGCCGATCATTTTTAATTCAAATTATTTTGTTGTTGTAAATTTGATTTTTGAAAGATGCTCCACTATTTTGTTTTATTCTTTGACAGAACATTAGTTGCAACCTTACTTGTAAACTGCAGTATGTAAATGTTAAATGTCTAAAGGTGTTTAAAGTATGCTTTAAATATGCTAAAATGTAAAAAATAAGGTATTTTTAGCATTTAGCTAAAATGTTGAATGCTAAAAATGTCTAACATAAACCAACAACCTCAGGTTAGTTTAAATTAGACAACATTAATAAGCCCTTTAGTGTTAAAAGGAAAACAAATACACTGAATTATGAGCGATCCATTAAACATCTTTATTAAAACTGAAACTTTAGTAGATGTACAACTTCACGTGTACTTTAGTAGAAGTAGATGCCTTCATTTGTGCTCAAGATGAAAGTTCTGTGATGGAGTTAAATTCAAAGCAGTCTGCTCCTCAGATAAATAATATTAAATTATTATTTCATGAATGTTTCTGTTAACTTATTATTTTTATACATGAATGTTTCTGTTCAGCGCCCTGAGATGACTTCTGCTGTGACTTGGCACCATATAAATAAACTGAATTGAATGGATGTCTAAACTTTGTTATAGATGCAGAATGAGCATCTGAATTTAGCTGGGATTGGCAAGAATGAGTAAGCATGGTTTATGGAGGGTTCAAACTTCAGATGTCTGACAGTCGAGCACTTCTCTCATCCTAGGCCGGGGCTATCCAACTGGCAGCCCGGGGGCCAAATCAGGCCCACGGGTGAACACAGCTCAACCCACCATTGGGTTCATTTTTAAATAAAACAAGCTGTTAAACCATAAAACAAACTTACATAATGACAATAACTGCTGGATGTCCAGTCCCTGAGCTCTTGGCTTTCAGTGTGACCCCCTGAGCAATTTAGTTGAATTAGCCCAGTTCTAGGCACTGCTATGTTAAGACCACTTACAAACCAGCCATGTTCTATAAGCAGTCTCTCTGACCATTAAGGCACTATGGTAATATTAACCCTTTATGAGCTAGGCTATATTGATTTGTGTACCAGATTTTGATTAATGTATTGAACATTTTAACCTTGAGGTACGCATGGAACCAGCTCATGGGCTGGATATGGCCCGGGGCCCACCAGTTGACATGCATTACTTTAGATTAGGAAATAAACAAAAAAAGTGCTTCAAACAACAACAACAACAACAACAACAACAACAACAACAACAACAACAA